GCCCTCGGAGCAAATCCATCTACTTAACGCCATAGATACATAACTATTTCGGTGAATCGAGTTCAATGCATGTTTGAACACGTGTTCGGACAGCTGCAAGAGATGCTTCTAGAATTAGAGAGAGAGAGAGAGAGAGAGAGAGAGAGAGAGAGAGAGAGAGAGAGAGAGATCGCCCTAGAAAATTCCAGGAACAATGCGTCCCGATTGGGTGACAAAAAATAATAGTTTCGGCCTATGAGACATCTCCCGTAAGGGAAGGGGCAAAACTACGGGTCTTGAGACATTTTAGGGAGGGGGAAACGGCGCCGAGCTCGGTAAGGGGGAAATTGTAGGAGAAAAGACGTGGCTCTTAGATAAGACTCGGTGTGGAACATTATTAATTTCGGCTAGTAGGGCTGAGGAGTCTGCAGACGAAGCAGCCGGGCAAAGCTGAATCGCCGAAGGAATCAGGTAATCGGGTGAGTCGATGGTTACAATATATATATATATATATATATATATATATATATATATATATATATATATATATATATATATATATATATAGTAACTATTAGTAAAAATTTATTACAGACATAAACGACGCAATGATTCAAGTAAATAAAATCTAAAGATCATTTCTAATAAATCACCGCAACGCCCCTGGGAGCCACGACGTTCGGTTTGAAAACTCCTGTTCTAACTAATGGAAAAAAGACAAAACGCGATTCCCCCATCCTTGTAAGACTGTACAGCTTTATATTACAGTTATTATAAGCCATTTCATCATAAAGCTTTTGAATAAATAATGTGACCGCTATTTTGTGAATAAAATATTGAACATAATGTGAAAATGGGAAATATCCACTCAAATAGTGGACACGTGTCAACCCATAAAGGCGTTCGCACTCGCACACTTTGAAGACACACACTCGCGAGACGCCCTGGTAAGTCTCTCAGGCGGCAGCTGGGAAGAAGGTGGGTAAACCCAGCAAGCTAGCTTTGACTTAAAAGAATATACTTGCTTTTGTTTTTCTTGGCGCGCGATGCCTTGTCTTCACAATGGAATAACTCACGGTATTTCGCGTCTTTTTTGGTCCTGCCGCTAGATGCATCATGATCGCGACCGTATTGAGCAGTGCTGATGATCATGCGACATCTAGCGGCACGACCGAGAAAGACGCGAAATACCATGAAATATTCAATCGTGAAGACAAGGATCGCGCGCCAAGAAATAAAAATCCAAGTAGCAATCTAATTAGTTGAGAAAATATGTGCCATTATGGAACTCCAGCAGTTAGTTTCAACAATTTTTGTTTTTAAGTTACGTAATTGTAATACCTTTAAAATTGTACGAGCAAGTAATTTATCCTTATGACAGGGGAGTGCGGTGAGAATTTATCCTTGAGACAGGTGAGAGTCAATTGATAGTATTATCCACGCACGTTTTCTTGAGCCCTCATTTCGCTAGATGCGAGGGGTTTAATTATTTCATAGATAGGACCATTATATGAAATCTGTAGCTTCTCGTTTTTCGATGCAAACTATTTTCTATTAGGCAGGGGCAAACACTTCAGGTAACGAGAGTTAGTCAACAAAACTTGTTACTATCATTTATTCTGAATTCAACTAATATTAGTAAAGGAGTGTTACCCAGTAAAGGAGTGGGTGTAAGTATGCCAGGGCTCAAGAAAACGTGTGCGCATAATACCAGTTGACTTAACTTAAAATGGCCGAATGATCGATCACCATGCAATACAAGTTGCTTTCAAAATCCGGCGGAAAGGAGGGAGTTTGTGCCCGTTGAGAAAGGGATGAAAGACTTTCTCACAAGTAAGATGCCTCAATGTCCTGATTTGGACATAGTTGTCGAGTTATTAAAACATTCTCCGTCACATTTTGGCATGCGTTCGCTGACACCAACTTGGAGAAATTTAACTTACTTGTCCGAAATTCAAGAAATAATTCCGGCCAATTTTTCACAATCCAAGGGCAGAATATTACGAGCTTAATCGTTGACAGTGGGGCGGGCTGCGTAGAGTTCAGGGGCGCTTGAGTCACAAAAAAAAACAAATCATCGCCTTCATACGTTTGATTTAAGGTGGTTAGAACGTGATAAGTGTTACTTTTAACATGCCTTTTTTATTGTATTAATCGAAAGATGAAAGGTTCTTCTATGTTCTGGTTGTTTGAATCAATTTCATCGTCCAGTTTTTGCGTGACAAGACCGTAAAGTTTGCTGTTTTAACATGGGCTCTTATAAGGATCTGAGAGATCTGACCTGAAATTTTAAAATTGTGAGAAAATTAACTGTTGAACATGCTTTTAAAAACTTTTCTTTTGGTAGTTAGCATCTCGAAGAACCAACATGGGCAATTTGAAGGAAATCTACCGTTTCAAATGGGAGAATTTTGCAACATTATAAGCCTAAATTAGTCCAAAGGGTTCGCGCGCTAGAGGGTCGGGACAGTGACGCGCATTTCGGCAACACCGCGCGCTCAACGCGCTTCATTCAAATCGAATGACAAGACCTTACAAGAGTTCCTACATTCCTCTGGATCTTCTGGGATCAATTATGATATCATCACTCCAGTAGAACATTACGTTTGATAGTAACCAGATATTCAGAAAACTGGAATTTTATGGATAAAACGTTTAGTGCGATCTGAATGAAATTTTAATTCAATTAATATTCCCAATTACTCACTTTGATACTACCCCCTGAGAAAATGGGTGATCTTGAGAGTTTATAGAACTTTTTAAACATTCAGTACAGTATTATTATTATTGTTATTGTTATTGTCGCTGTTATTGTTGTTGTTATTGTTATTGTTATTGTTGTTGTTATCGTTATCGTTATTGTTATTTTGTTTTGTGCCGTACGTCAGTTTCTTGCTCCTGAACAATGCTTATTTATTAAATTATTCGAAAATTATTCATATTCCCTTTTTTATGGTGGAGATATGGTGGATTGTCATTGTCTTTTGCACCACAGATGCTTACATAGAACTCAAAGCAACAATCTTTAGCATAGATCAGCGCATCAAACGGTATTGTTACTGAATGGGCATTCAATTAAGAAAGAAATAGACTTTGTAGTGGCTTCAAATGTGTTGCAAAGATACAATACTGTTTTGCTAGTGTTAAATAAAAACATTTTATGAAATGTTATGGTAACCATTCAATCTATAGGTGAATGCAGAGCTGGATTTCCTCGTAGCAAAATTAGGCTTGGGACTCCCATCCTCGTGCTCGGTTTTTTAAAATAAACATTAAAAACTTCATAAAATGTTTTTATTTGAATAAGCATTAATCAAATAGTATACTGAACAACAACGTTTGATTTTAAAAATAAATTGAATGGAACAATAAGAAACCAACCATGTATTTGTAAATGATAAATTTAAAAAGCAATTTTGTACTTTGAAAGCAATTTGTTAATTTACATCTGTATTTAAACAATGATTTATTCTATCATAATCAGTGCTTCTTAGATTTATTCATAATTAGTTTTAAATATTTTTCTGAATGAGTGCCCAGTGTAGTTTTGTGCTTGAAGACCTATAGTATTTAAATCTGCTCGGACAAATTTAATAATTACATTTACAATTAATAATTACATTTTATTGAAATTGTAAGAGGAATGATATATTCAACCTTTGGTAGATTTAGTATTTTAATAGAAACTCCTTTTCTCTTCAGTACTATATTTTATCTAATTGTTTGCATTTCCTGAACCATGATAATGCATTTTGAATGGTTCTCATCTTATTTTCAAAACATTTAAACTTTTTTTCATTTTGAGTGCAACATCAACACAAACAATTACAAAAGACTATGCAACTTAGAAATCTCTTTTGAAGATTTTATCTCCAACAATGGTATAATTTTATTATTGAAGGTCTCAATAATACAGCTCTCAGACTTATCTGATGCAGTATTTTCATGTTATAAGCTTTAACTTGATGTGTACTTTACACAATAATTTATATCTAAATCAATATCATAACATGATATAAATTTATGTTGAAAACCAGCAAATAGTTTCTTTGAATTATATAACCTCACTGCTGGAAATACACAGCACATTGCAATTCCTAAAATAGTTCTAAAATTTCAATCAAAACTATTAAAAGATTAAAAATTGATCACGAAGTTTAATTAACTAAGCAAAAATAAAATAGGGGAATAACAGAAAAAAATATATTGTGATAAGAAGGATAATAAGGAGCAGTAGAAGTCAATGATTAGGATGTCTGTCAAGTTAAATATAAAGCTTTACACAATGTTGGAGAGAACCAAACTTTTGATATTGTTAAGCAATCGAATAATCTAATGTTTGCCATACCATTGGTTCTGGTAATTCAAAAAATGAAAATTAGAGAGAAACAAACACTGAAAAAATATTTGAAAACCTTTTTGAAACTATTTATTACGTAATTTTTCTTAATAACAGGGAAATTATTTCGTTTTCTCTCAAATTCCGCCTAGGAAATAAATTATCTGCCAATTCGCTTAGATTGTGATATTTACCGCGTGTCGACCAGACAACGAACAGTATTCATAGTGATTCAAAACAACGAAACTTTGAAGAAGCATGTCCTCTGTGCAGTAATGCCAATCTCAAGGACATTATGGTGTTGCCCAATGTATTAAAGACTTTTTGCCCCACTCACACATGGAAATTTTTGCCATTATTAGCGATCACTGTACAAAAATATATAGATATGTTTCTATAATGTTACTTTTTATGATTTTACACGTACTTATTGGTAATAGTGTTTTTTTATGTTCAATCTTATGCTTCAATTTTTACAATCTTATGCTTCAATACATTGGCCTGGAACTGAATTAAAACAGTTCATGATCATTGAAATCCAATCATCATTACAATTTCAAACTCATATTTTTTAATTATTCATATTAGGATGAAATATTACGATAAATTATTTTTTTATTAACAGTACAAACATTAACTCACATTTAACAAAATATTGAATTAAATTCCATTTTAAAAGGGATTAGGGTAATCTCATTTCAAAACAAAAAAAAATTATGTTGCACACTATGCTCATTTATTATTCAATTCAAAAATAACTATTAAAATACTAGCATACAACCTAAAACAATACACAAACATAAAAAGTAATTTGTTTTTGTCAGTTGTAGTGAAAACCGAAAATACACAAAAGTGTATTTGGTGAGAAACCTGACCATGCATTCACTACTCTTGAGCAGAGAAGAAATTAATGTCTCTTCATAATCTCATATCTATATGTGTACAAATACATTGCAATAATATATTTACATACAGAAAATGAACAACAGATGTAACTGAACATGATCAAACAGCATTCCTGGATTTTTAACACTGCAAAATCTTTAATATGACTGAAAAAATTAAATAGCTTTAGGAAGAGGAACATTGGTGAATTCAAAGGCTTGTCTCTGCATGCAACATTCACCAATGCTACTGTTCAGTTTATAAAATAAATAACTTAATAAATTTTAATACCACCGACATACAGATTGTGAAAACCAAATTTCATTCTTTAGCACACTCTGAATAATCTTACCAAATTACAACAAATGAAATGTTATTGATAGAAGAATGAAAAAGAACAACACATTTATTAAACACACATAATGAAAGACAAAACACTTGGAAATATTTCATGTCCATTCTTTAGTTATTTCATTTAGCACATACATAAGCATTCATGCACTGACAAAAAACATTTACACACATTCAGAATCTTAGCACCAAATAAAAACAGTACAACCTCCATTATCCAAGGTAATTCATGGGAAGAGGTGAGGGTTGACAAAATCGAAATATTCTTTTAAAATGTGTTAATTAAAAGATTAATTAAGAAATATGTAAGAATCCACAATCACTGTTCCCAATAAAACATGCCACATAAACCAAACTTCATTTTCAATAATAAAAATCACAAATTTCAAAGCCTACTGCGGACTTCATTTCACTACAATTCATTAAATTTTTTGAATAGCTTTGAAAGTATGGATGATTTTCTTCCATGTGGAGAAAGAAAGAAAAAAGGGGTCTTCCCCCTCCCCCCGGGTTTTGATTTCTTTTTGAAGTGAATTTTTACCCATCTTAAGATATAATTTTTGCGGTGGTAAATTGAAGCAACATGGCTAATGGACCTTCCCCCTGAAGCTGATGGCACATTCATAATTGCAAGTTTGATAAATTTTTCTTAATTAAAGTCATTAAATATCTCACTTGCATATGTTGAAAATAATAAATTAACACACAAAATTAAATTTTAATTTTGAATTCAGTATCAATGCAAAACACATACCAAAACAATCAAGGTGACACTACGTAAGGAGCAACTACATCTAAGCTTCCTCCCCAGCCCCCAAAGAAAATTCTGGTTGTGCTGCTGAAATTGAAGTCCCACAATCCCAAATTTTGTCCCACTTAGTACTGGATACCACTTACCCAATTAATTGGATTCACAGAAAATCGAACCCCCAAATAATGAAGGTTATACTACACAACACAAAATCATTGTGGAAAACAACAATAGAAACACTTAACTATAAAAAAATAAACTTTAAAGAAAAGTAGGTTTTTCAAGACTGTGAATTTATTAATAAAGTAAATATAGTAATCATTTATTTCACTGAGAGTAACATGAAAATATAGCAGCTTCTTTAATAAATCATACAAACATTAATAGTCTTATTCTTAACATTGTGGCCAGATTGGCATTTTTTTAAATTGTAATTCTACAAAAAACTGAGAAAATTTTCCATATTAAAAAGAGATATTACTCTTCTCAAAAGCTATATTCTTCTTTGTCAATTACCTTCATAAAAAAATCAAGATACTGGTAAATGACATGTGATGCAGGGTTTGGTAAATGTTAGTAAAGTTCAAAAGCAGAAATTTTGGCAGCTAAAATTACCAATTGTCATTGGCAGAATTTTATATTCTGAATAGAAAAATACCTTTGTACATAAATATTTAAAAAAATATAATACATAAAATAGAAAAGTGATGTTATATTTTCCAAATTAGAACCACCGCAACTCATAATTACAATAACAAATATTGTCCCAAGAATTCCTTTCTGCATTGACAGCAGTCATTCATGTCTGCAAAAGACGTTCACGCAGTCATTCATGTCCGCAAAAGATGCTCACTATATTATGAATTCCTTCATCATATAAATTATCTGTAATTCCAAATCCTACATGAAGGCCGCTAGAAATATCTAGTTTCCATTCAAACAAAAATTAGGAAGGAAAAAACGAAGAGAAGATCATTCATTGAGTTTATGAAGCAACATTGTGTAAAAGTGAAAATAAACTAAGCAAAACTGTGATGTATTGCAAACTTTCTAACTGTAGCATGTATTATTAAAAAAAAACCTTCCGGTTTCCAGTTCTCTTTTTACTATGGCACAGAACAATACACTCAATTTCATCCATTCCTAAGAGTTTAATTATGACAAATGCAATACTTTTCACAGTTGCTGGGAAAATTCCATGCACACAATAGCAGCTTTGAAAAGAATTCACTAGAGCATCGCAATAAGAACATGACAGTTGTCATGTCAAATATAATTTCTGAATTGAGAGATGAAAATTGCATGCACAAAACAATCAAGATTCTTCAATGTACATCTAAAGAGAAGAATTATTTTAATAGTATTCTTTATAGTGGTATTTGGAATACTCTTGCATGATTTAGCATAGCCATTCACAAGTTTAAAATGCACTTTATTGCATTATTATGAAGAGTCTGTCACAAATCACATCATTGCAAAATTTTGCGTAAAATCATACTCTATTGTAGGAATAACCGCTTGCACAAATTTCAAGAATATTATGAGATACATATGTACACCTAACTCGCCACCACCTTCCGTCACTGTTTGAATGATTTTCTTCATCACTTCTGCATGTCTGAAATTAAAAGAAAATATTTATTAATTTAGTACAATTCACACACATCATTAGGTTTATTTCATGAAATTGCAATAAGGAAGAATCTGGTTGTTATTAAGGAATCTTAAGTATTACACATTACTGGAATCATAGATAATTATTTCAATAGACCCTCGTGTTACTAATGGGGATTTTGGACTTGATTATCAAACTAATCTTTCAACTGTGATGCTTGCAATTACAACATAAAAACATGGAATTTTAAATTTAAATATATGAAACTATATGATTGGTACAAGTGTAGTCAGGATAGGCTCCTCTCAATTCATGGAAGCATTTCAGTATAACAAGTGAGTACTAGTAGTGTGTTTCAGGAGATTGCATAGTTTCTGCCTAGAGGGATGAATGAGCTTCCAGGGAGGAATAGGGTTGCAGAAGGAATTCTCAGGGGAAAGGAGGTGAACATTTGGGTGCTTCAGCAATTTGTGGAAATGGACACTTAGAGATTAAGGCAGTATTACTTCAAAGATCAATGGTTAGAATAGAGGATAACCTGATGGGTTGGATGAACTGATAGGTGTGAAACATTCACTCCATAGCCTGCAAGCACAATATCGCATCTCTTTAAAGACAGTTCTCCAGAATCTGCCAAGAGATATTCAATGCAACTGATGTGATAGGCATCAGTGGCTATGAAGATGTACTGTGGATAGTATTTAAAAGGCTGATCCTTGAACCTTGCAGCCACAGGAAAAAACTGAGAGAACAAGTTATCTATACAACCACCAATGACAGTCAGTCTGCTTCCCATAAAATTGTACTAAATATGCAGCAAACTACGGATGTGGTTATGCCACAGCAAGCATCCGTCAAAGGTAAGTCTCACAAACCTACCATTTTCAACAAAGGGAAACTGAGGACCCCCTAGGAAAAGTTCCAGATTGTTCTGGAGATGGTAGATTCTCCAGAAATTGTGAAACACATGTTGTGAAAAAATTAAAATTCATAGACTTAATTAATGCCTAAACAATTAAAGCAAAATTGAATCTGACTCTGGATGACATTTAAGCTTTTTTATGGAGAGAGACAGACAGACAGAGAGAGAGAGAGACAGACAGAGAGACAGAGACAGACAGAGAGAGACAGAGACAGACAGAGAGAGAGAGAGACAGACAGAGAGAGAGAGAGAGACAGCCAGAGAGAGAGAGACAGACAGCCAGAGAGAGAGAGAGACAGCCAGCCAGAGAGAGAGAGACAGCCAGCCAGAGAGAGAGAGAGAGAGACAGCCAGAGAGAGACAGACAGACAGAGAGACAGAGAGAGAGAGAGAGCCAGACAGAGAGAGAGCGAGACAGCCAGAGAGAAAGAGAGACAGACAGAGAGAAAGAGAGACAGACAGAGAGAAAGAGAGACAGACAGAGAGACAGCCAGACAGAGAGAGACAGCCAGACAGAGAGAGAGAGAGAGCGAGACAGCCAGAGAGAGAGCGAGACAGCCAGAGAGAGAGCGAGACAGCCAGAGAGAGAGAGAGAGAGACAGCCAGAGAGAAAGAGAGACAGACAGAGAGAAAGAGAGAGAGACAGAGAGAAAGAGAGACAGACAGAGAGAAAGAGAGACAGACAGAGAGAAAGAGAGACAGACAGAGAGAAAGAGAGACAGAGAGAAAGAGAGACAGACAGAGACAGAGAGACAGACAGAGACAGAGAGAAAGAGAGACAGACAGAGACAGAGAGAGACAGACAGAGAGAAGAAGAGTCAGACGGAGAGAGAGAGTCAGACGGAGAGAGAGAGTCAGACGGAGAGAGAGAGTCAGACGGAGAGAGAGAGTCAGACAGAGAGAGAGAGTCAGACAGAGAGAGAGAGTCAGACAGAGATAGAGAGTCAGACAGAGAGAGAGACAGACAGACAGAGAGAGAGAGAGACAGAGAGAGAGACAGAGACAGACAGA